ATAAATCATGTCCATATTTAACACTGTATATGTACCTTTGATGATTTATATATATATATATATATATATATATAATTATTTTTGTGTGTAGCACTCTGTTATATATAATTGAAAAATGGTGAAAACAGAGCTCGAATAAATGAAAAGTGATGTGAGTATCGTATCGGGAATAGCCTACCAAATAAAAAAAATTTCCCTATACTGTTTGTTGTTATACTGTTGCCAAAGAATACTCTAGAAGTCATACCTCTATTATATTGAAGTAACATATATAATTTATTTATTTAAGCTTTCTTTAACTAGGGGGTATCCATTCAGTGACTAGCACTGCTTTTCAAGGAAGCCCTGGTACATACAGTGAATATATCCAAACAAAAATAAATTTTGTACAACCATGAAATTCAAAAGTAACTAAAAGTAAATCAAAAACAAGATAGCCTAAAACTGAAAAGAAAGCAGACAAATGAAAACTACCAAACCAAAAATAAAAAAGGTACAGCCTTAGTAAAAACAGATAAAGGCCCCTTTTTAAAACGTATTAATAGAAAGAGCATCAAAATTGTTACGAATGTTGTGAGAAAGATTGTTCCAAAGATGCGCTGCTCTGTTATGAAATGTACACTCACCACAGTTTGAATTTACATGTGGATCAACTAGAGTATTTGATATTTGATTCCTAGTAGGGTAGGAATGAACAGAGTGGGTGAAGGTGAATTTGGAAGACAGATATTCAGGGGCATTACCATTTAAACATTTAAACACTGTAAGTAAAATCTGGTTTGTCCATCGATCGTTTAGTTTCATCATATCATCCACTGGAGTTCTAATACTGTCTGATAATAAAACTCTTGCAAATTGATTTTGCTACTTTTGCATCTTTGACTTAAGAGTGTTATTACAGTTTGTCACAATTTGACTACAATAATAGAAATGAGGCATTATTAGTGCCTCACCAAGCATTTTGAGAGCAGAATTTGGCGAATAATACCAATAATAATAATATTATGATTCCAATTCAAACGACTATCAAAAACAATACCAAGATATTTGAATTGATCACTTTCTCAATAAAATGGTTATCATACATTAATGTGACAACGCTAAATCTATCAAGTTTCATAGGTG